ATCAATTTGATATATGGGTGAATTAAGTATGGCTGCCGGAACTGTTTTATATTAGAAGAAAACAGAAATCTTTTTTCTGTCTTCGGTTAGGTGAATATCTGGCGGTCAGTATCGCATATTGTCTCCTTAGTGCAGTAACGGGTTAACTCCTTATATAATTTAATATGAGATAACCCGTTACTACACTAGGTGACGATTTATACATTTACATTTGTCTCAATGACCAACGTCTTGCCTTTAATTTGTGATAAAGTCCCACTGATGATCAATTACTGATCACAAAACCTTCTATTGAACTAAGACTTTTTTTTCATTATGTAAAATAGATGGTTCTCCGGAATTTCTTCATGATTAAAAGCTGAAGCTGTGTCGGCTACCAGAGGACATGGGGAATGTAACAAACAAAGTCACTATTTCCCACAATGCCAGTGGGACAGTCATTAATTATCTCAGATGTCAGTACAAATCAAAAACCCCTTTTCTTCTAAATTTTGTCTTGTCCACACTGATAACATTGACTTAGCTAATCATTGTACAAGGGATCATGGGATTTGAAAAGCTTTCAAATAAGCTGTCAAAGTCAGCAGGTCACTGATGACAGTTTAAATACATGTGGAGGATACAGAATAATTTTTGTATCGCTGGGCTCTTTAAATGCCGATTTTTAACAGTATTTTTTCATTTAACAGTGTTTTCAACCATTTACCACATAAAGTGTTCCTGGATATGAATCTGTTTCTCCACAAGTAGGTGTCAACTTCTCTACCTTATTCATTTCAAACATCAGTGGAGAACTGATCATATATAAGACATGTTGACCTCAACAAATATTCAAGAGAATCATCCATAATAAACAAAGTTCATCCCAGTGCCCAAACTTGGGAAACCAAAGTCTGCTGACCTAGTACTCTTGCTATCAACCTAATTGGGTATGGAGTCTTTTAAATACAAACTTAGTCTGGTAACGGCAAAAAATTTAACCCATGTGACCAGTGCAGATCAAGATCAGGCAGCCATTTATTTGATCATGGACAACACTATTCACTTAATACATGTGTTAAAATTGTCCTTATGTTTGATGAATGGTTCATCCCAAAATGAAAGCTCATTATAATCAAGACAAGTCCATTTAAGATAATTAGGGAAGGTAAGGGCTAAATTACCTATAGATGAGATGATAAATTGTACTGAAAACTTAAACCACAATATGTCATATATTTGTCATTACATAATACACTATCACCAGCCTGTTTATCAATTTGCATTAAGTGAATGATATATTAATATCAAAATGAAAAGGTAGCATCGTCTTTACGAGAAGACTAAATTTCATTGCTTTATGTAATGTAAAGAGATCACAATCATTTATCAAAATTTCGTTACTTATATACAAATTTGAACTACAAATGTAACATTACCGTATACATAAAATCGGTAATACCTAGGTCGTCTCGAAACGTAACGACTATTGTATATATCTGACACTATTTTATCACTTGTCGTTCAGTACAGGAAAATGTCACACACTCCTTTTGAGGCACGATTACGACCTAACAATATCTGTACAATGGATTTTCTTAATCTTATACCATTACAATAGTCAAGTTTTCTATTCAGGACCCTTCTTTTCATTAAATAAATATTATTCCAGCAAAACTTAATCCCTTCGCATTTTAATACCTTCTCGACAAAAAAAAAAAATGTGTCAGTTTTTTGCCTTCTTAAGAAACAATATAAACATTACATCTAAATCTGCAGACTAAAACCCTTTCTAAAAATATTGTCAGAAGTAAATGCTGTTTAAATATAGGTTTCAATAGAATGAGAGTTTATGAATGGGGTTTATTAAAATAATACTCTCTTCATCTTCATGTACATTTAGATATTTCCTAGTTTTATTAACTATAAATATATATCAACTTGTTAGACATTATTCTTTATTTTTTACCCCCTTTCATTTATGCAATGGACTTTTCCTGATTTTGACTTTGGAATATTCAATTGTTATTAAATGGGACTTCAACATACTGTTAATAGTAGTTAGGCAATGGTAACACTGCATAATTGTGCAAAGGCTGGCGCCTGGCTCTATCCTATTAGAGAAAATGCAAACAGTAAGCCATTTTAATCATAATCATGGAAAGGGTACAATTAAAAAATTCCTAACAGAGTTGCCAAAGACAACAGAGTTGTTCACATCAGGTAAAAGAAACATTCTTTAACTAACAAAACAATATACCAAAACAATTTTCAATATAACCACCACTAATTGGTTTGAAATTTTATATAATCTTTTATTATGGGGCACGTCATAAATATATTGTTATGTTACGATGTGAACGAGGAAATAGGAAAGGCCCGAGTACGTCATCGACTTACGCAGGATTCTCAGAATACGTAGAGACTACATCAAACTAGTGTCATACTGTGCAAGGTGTATACTATCATGAATTCATCATTATATCTTCATATAAATCAAAGAGAAAACGCAAACAGTTCCCCGAATTGCTCGGAATGCTAAACGAGCCTGTTTTTTTTCTAATTCTCCCCACCATGATACCTATCTAGCTAAGTCGCTACAAATGTTCGTAAAACAGTAAAGAGAAGTCTGTCTACGAGAGTTTCGTATTTTTGCCTTGATCTTGAGCGATGACATTATACGTTGTTTGACAAATTGGTGCGTTCTACTTGAGCATCCTTATACCCAATTTCTTAATATCATCATAACACTTCTTATACATTACTGAAAGGTATAATATATTAATATGTGTACTAAACATGCGGCATGTATCAAGGACATGTATATGTATATCCCTATAATATAGAAGACAGGGAGTTTCCCTTGAAGCGGAGGATGGCGTCCTCTTAAATACCAAGTTGCAGACGACTTAAAGGAATAGTACAACATTGACCTTAAGTTTCTATAATTATAGCCTTTTTAAAGTAACAATGAAAACAAATATAAAATTGTGTGGGTTTTTTTTTCTTTTGTCAATTTACCGTTTTTTTATTATAGAAAAAAAAAGAATAAATAATTTACATTTGTATTCTTATTTTCATATTAATTTCAATAATATTTTCCTTCTCTTTTGACCAGGATAAATTCCTAACACTAAGCCAGAAATGATCTTTTGAATCATATTCCAACCAATCGACAATTAAAACATGGAATATTCAGAGCCATCAGAAAATATAGATATATTCTAAGACACAAATCACTTTAAACATAAGCCAACAAAATACATATCTCGCATGCCCAGATGACAGGTTTAATACCCTCAGCATTAAGCAAATGTTGCAGCTAGATTAAACGCCTTAAGACCGATTCATTAAATTATTTCTGCGAGAACTTGGACCTTTGTCGAATAGTGGAAACTTTCTTCCCTGAAAAGAATCCCTGAGATTTTTATTTATCTACAGGGCTGCCAATGTAATCTAAACTACAGATATGCTTCAATATTTCGGGGGAAGAAACCATATTGTATTAACGCGTTGGTAGCCAATACTTCTGTTAGACGCATTTTAAACAGTAACAAAAAACTGAACGCACTCGTGCTGGAAAAACCAAAAATCGAGAAAACAGCTGTGCACAGTTTCTTCCTGTTTCCAACAGAAATACATAATGGCATCTGGTTCAGACGAAAAAATAGGCAGAGAATATGAAAGAGTGCGTGTTTACTTTGCCATGAAATGCAGATTAATTTATAAATTGTTAAGAATTAAAAAACGCAAAATAAACCATGACATTGCCGTATCTCCTCTTATTGTTACATAAACAGCTTCGCACACATAAAAAAAACCCTATCTTATAAATAACTTTGCTTCACTTTCAATCTATTCCAGTGCTTTAGGTTCTACTTTATCAAAAGATTTCATTTTCTGGGCCAAAGAAAAAAAACAACATACAAGCTATATGTCCCAGTGGAAATACAAGACACGTACAGATTAGTAAGCAAATGAGAAATCTTTTTTATTCTTTTTTTCCTTCAGATTAAATTTTCAATTCATACTGAACCAGCAAATTAATTGAACACTATCAAGGGAAAATGGTTCTTCGCTATTTAAAAACTCATAAAACTTTCCCTTGTCATAACAATGAGGCCTGTATGTCTAGAAAATATTACCATAAATACTACTATAAATATCAACCAAGTAAATGTAATAAAGAAAAACATCATTTCAAGAAAAACTCATTATCCAGTTTACATTTTCCCCTATTCGATCCCCATGCCATTGATATCAAGATTTACAACAACAACACAAATTAAACTTTATGCACATTAATAAAGTTCAGGACACTATTGCATTTAACCCTTTGTATATTACTTTATTCCATATTTACATAAAGTATAACTTTTTTGTACCATTTTTTTACCTCCTTAATAACTGTCACCTTCCATTTCATGAAAGAAAACATGCATATATAGCAATAATATAACAGTGTAATACTTAGAAATTGTCAGAAACATCAGTTCAAGCATTGCTTCAAACCAAAACAGTAAAGAAAATGAGAAAAATCAAATCTCGAATGGAATTTTGCCAGTCTGCTAATTCCCAGTTGGATAAATCGATGTTATTTTTGAAAATATTTGTGTTTGGAATTATGGCCCTGAACACTAATGCTAGATAAATACACGAAAATATGAAATACAAGATCAAAGAAATGAAAACATACGAAGCTGACTAAATCTGATGACAGCAGGCCAACAGAAGAAAAACCCAACAACTTCTGTCAATGAATATGAAAGTGGATCGCAAAAAAGAAGTGAACAAAAGCACAACTGCTGCTGTCTATATACATGTTATCGACAACCTTTAACAATTTATCTTTGAAAAAAATAATTATAAGATTAAGATTCACGTTGTATACCTAGCACATGTTTTCATCATGTTGAACACTGTGATAAATATATATCATGATTCATAGCTTAGAAAACTGTTTAAAGCATTAAACTTGAATTAATCAGAGCGAAGTCAAAAATTGGAAATGAAATGCTTACCTTTGGCTGTGCTTTTCTAGGGAACGCCACTTTTGGGTCAACCTGTGGATAGACATAATAAATGTTCTCCATTCTTGACTCTATTCTGAACTGGCAAATATATTCAATAAATTTTAATTATATTCCAAGGCTCCCGCGACCGGTTTAACACGAAAATGCAAACAAATTAGTTTGGTTATAACACTGTGTTGTTCAAATATACCAAAATCCACCTTGTCGAGTTAAAATTGCTTTAGTTAATACCGTTTGCCCAATTAGTAAATAGAATGTCGATGTGAAACCATAGGAAATCTATCACAAAAAGATGTATAAAGATGAACTAGTATGACAAAACAAGTCCTAAGTGTCGCGGTCAGGTGCGTAAAATCGGTTGCACTCGAACGATTATATTCTCCTTCCTGACACAATTTGACATCTATATGATACCGAAATCTCACAAAATGTGGCAGGATCAGTCCTATGTATATACTGTTGGAGACACGTATATATTAAATATGCTACAATGTAAATGTGCGACTTCGTTAACAGTCCAAAGAAAATTGACTTGAAAATTTGAACTGGAAGAGTTTTAAACACGCTGCTTCTATTTGAACATGTACAGAAGGGACTTACGTAGCAGATGGGGAACAATGGTAAGTGACGCCCTCTTTTTTTCAAAATTTACAAACCCGCAATCATTGGCAAATATTAATAAATATGAAATCGAACTTTTCTTTTGTGATGTAACCGTTGGTTCGTTTTATTGAATAAATAAGTAAACACACAATGTTTGAGAAAACTTAAGCCCCCTTCCTGAGTTGGAAATAGCGTACAAAATGCCATAATGGCTTCAGTTCTAAATATCTATTCATGGCGTTCAGTAGACCTTGTAGAAAGTACACAGGTGTAAACATTTGTGTATGCACAATCGTCAATCAATTATAGTTGAAAAAGCTTATCAAACAAACCGTCTTCTACATGAAGAATCTATTAATTTATGACAGTAAATATAGCCATATTTGACCTCGTTGACTGACAATAAACACTGTATACATAGCTCACAAAAGTGGTCATATAAACATCAAAAACAAGTCAATAGTGACAGAACAACAAATTTTTCTCTTTTTTTCGACCAATCAACATCATGTATAATTATAGATTAGCATAAATCTGACCTATCCAAAAACTAATGTGTAACTTATATTATGAATTCATAACGTATATATAATGACCCGATTTCTCATATATACCATTGATAAGAGTTACATGTAATAAAGCAATGAAGAATAAACATGGTCTAAAATTTCTTAATGTCATCTCAGGGTGCAAATACAGTGGACTTTATTCAAACAGCCTATCAAAGATGAAGTGATCATGCTCATAAAAATGTCTTACAAGGCAAACATCTCTTCACAGATGGTAGTTACTCTATACAGATTACTATCATTTTCATTTGACCAAGTACATATTATAAAATATTTACAACTGACTTGGTATACAATGTATAAAATTCATGCAAGAAACTTCACAGCTTATGAAAGCTTAATATCAGATATCTTAGACATTGTGAAAAGAGAATGACATAACATTATCTCCCTTTTCAAAAATAAAATTTGCATGAAATAAAGGCAAACTATTGCACTTTTTCCCTCGACTTACAAAACTATTGGAAATTGCCCAAAAAAGGTGGAGATTTCTAGCACAATGCCAGTTATGAGGCTTTTTTCTGATTGTATTTTTCATTAATATATAGATGTACTTTTAGATCAGAAAAATTGAAAGCTTTTAAACTTTTCTTATTTTCAAGTACCATTATTTATAATTTAAATAAACAAGGTTTTCAACTTACTTGTTTTCCATCCAGTATATGAGGTCCATTTTCTAAGCACTGATCTACACTAATTGGGTCTTTATATGTCACGAAACCAAATCCCCTGAAAAAAAACAACAACATAAATTTAATGAAATATCATACATTTGACATTAAAAATTATTCTTTAAGACACATCCCACGAGAACAAACTAGACTAAAGAGCAGACAAGAAGCACTAAAGTGAACTTTTCTTACAGTTCTATGATTTTGACTGACTTTGCAACTGATATTCTTCAAATTGAAAATCACATATTTTTCAAAAAATATTTACCATTGATATAGACATTCAGTCAATGGTTATTGCAAAAGATGTGTGAGTGGTTTGTTTGTTTGTATTTCTACATGTAGATGATCTATTACTACAAGTAAATTCCAAGTTTTGAGCAAATCATTACTCAAAAGACCTGCCTGTTTTAACACCAATTTTAATACAATTTCACATTTTTGGTCATATCTCAACTGTTTACTTTAAACCAGCTTTCCTGGATAACTAACCTGTAATGTTTGGGATCTAGTAATTGTCACAGAGAAATTTTGTCTTACCGAAGGATCAAACCTGAGTGACCTATTGAGCTAAGCAGGCAGGCAGGCTGGCAGAGGACCAAACAAATCAAAATATAATATCTGTTTAATTTTGTCCAAAAAAAAGTGTATTTTCATATAAAAATCGAAATTATCGCACAACTAAAACCAGATTAAGAAAGCCTACTTTTCTTTCAGTTAATCCTTTTCCTTCAGGGAATTTTCATTTTTTCTTCATAAACGGATGACACGAATTTCCAAGCCATGGAAATATATTTTTCATCTTTTTGTTTATAGGCAGGGCAAAATGAATTTTGTCTGAGATATATACATATATATATATATGGGAATGTTTTCTCTCAGGCCGCTAGAGAAAAAGGAGATAATTCTAAATAATCTAATCTTAGACTGATATCTTTCAATGACCATGAACAAAACAAGAGAATACTGCCATTTATGGCAAGAAAAACAAATGCAAAAATAAATGTTTTTTTGTGTGTTTGAAACCATACAAAGACGTTTTCTAATTAAAAGAAGACAAATTAATTTACATTATACAGGACTCAATATTTTCGCTCAAAGTTGTATAAAGACATTTTTCCAAGGCACCAGTAGACCTAAATATTAAATTAAGGAATTTTCTAAAGACTTCTGAAGATATTCTTATAGATTTTTTATTAACCATTTGATTATACCGTTTAAGATGTTTCTTAATTTTCAATTATGCAATTGGAGATGTTCTCTAATTTTACAATTATACCATTTAAGACGTTCTTAAAATTCAATTATATTATTATTTAAGATCTTTTCTAAATTTTCAATTATATTATAAACTTAGTGGTTTTTCAAACTTAATTGATAGCCTCTTGATTTTGGGGAAAATTGTAGCTAAAATTGCTTATCTGGGAAGTAAAAAAGCTGGTTTGGAAAACTGCATGATTTTTAAAACAAAATTTTGATTGAGAGGCCTCTGTTATATAAGGTGAAAAGTCATTGATTAATTATAATAATGTTTGATTCTGCTGAAAGTTTTTCCTCATTTAATTGGGAAGATGCCTTAACATCCTGATTTTTGGGAAAAATTGCAAATATGGGATGTAAAAAGTATGTTGGCATGCATTAACATAGACATCCACAAAATTAAACTAACAATCTTATTTTAACTGTCTGGCAACCTTTACCAAGTTCCCATTTCACTATTTTTTTAAAGAAAGTGGGAAAAAAAATACAAATATGAGGATATGCAGCTCCTATAAATTTAGGCCCAAAAAAAGTTCTGTTTTGTGTACCTGTTACCTTAAAATTCTTTTTTAATTGCCAACCCTCGACTTTTACCAGCCTTTCTGATTTTTACATATCATAATATGTAATTATATAATGTTATAATTGTATAATAAATTATTACCAAACTGTCTTTTTTTAGGGTTTGAAAACCAGGAATAGAACTAATTATTTTATTAATATTTCCCCTTAATGTGACATGCAATTTAATTTTATTTCGCTTTCAGACTGAAGTATTGGTCGAGCATCTGGGCTGGTCGAGCACAGGTACTGTGACTCTATATATATGGGAATGTTTTCTCTCAGGCCGCTAGAGAAAAAGGAGATAATTCTAAATAATCTAATCTTAGACTGGTATCTTTCAATGACCATGAACAAAACAGAGAACACTGCCATTTATGGCAAGAAAAACAAATGCAAAAATAAATGGTTTTTTTTGTGTTTTTGAAACCATACAAAGACGTTTTCTAATTAAAAGAAGACAAATTAATTTACATAATACAGGACTCATTATTTTCGCTCAAATTTTTATAAAGACACTTTTCCAAGGCACCAGTAGACCTAAATATTAAATTAAGGAAAAGTTTCTAAAGACTTCTGAAGATATTCTTATAGATTTTTTATTAACTCTTTGATTATACCATTTAAGATGTTTCTAAATTTTCAATTATGCAATTGGAGATGTTCTCTAATTCTACAATTATATCATTTAAGACGTTCTTAAAATTCAATTATATTATTTAAGATATTTTCCAAATTTTCAATTATACTTCAAACTTAGTGTTTTTACAAACTTAATTGAGAAGAGTACATAGCCTATTGATTTGGGGGAAAATTTTAGCTAATATTGCTTATCTGGGAAGTAAAAAAGCTGGTATAAGTTCAGATTTTTTGGGAAAACTGCATGGTTTTTAACACAAAATTTAAATTGGGAGGCCTCTGTTATATAAGGTGAAAAGTCATTGATTAATTATAATAATGTTTGATTCTGTGCTGAAAGTTTTTTTCTCATTTAATTGGGAAGAGGCCTTCCCATCCTGATTTTTGGGAAAAATTGCAAATATGGGAAGTAAAAAGTATGTTGGCATGCATTAACACAGACATCCACAAAATTAAACTAACAATCTTATTATAACTGTCTGGCAATCTTTACCAAGTTCCCATTTCACTATTTTTTAAAGAAAGTGGGGAAAAAAATATAAATATGAGAATATGCAGCTCCTATAAATTTAGGCCCAAAAAAGTTCTGTTTTATGTATCCCTATTAAACTTCTATTTTAATTGCCAACCCTTGACTTTTTACCAGCCTTTCTGCTTTTTCAAAACATTAATTTTCTTACAAAATATGTAATTATATAATATTATAATTGTATAATAAATTATTACCAAACTGTCTTTTTAGGGTTTGAAAACCAGAAATAGAACTAATTATTTTATTAATATTTCTTAATGTGAAATGCAATTTAATTTTATTTCGCTTTCAGACTGAAGGGTTGATTTGTGTTAAATTTACAATAGCATCAACAAAGATATTTCTAAATAGTTTTTATTAACCCGCATAATAACCTAAAAACACTCATAAATTTGACATTTTTTATCTTATATTGCAAATTCATATGACCCATATTCTACTTTTTCTATTCAAAAACTTAATTTGATCCCATTTTTAAACAGTTTCTATTTAAATGATATTTCATACAATTTTATCAATCATAAAAGTTTTACACATTTATTGACCATAATCAAGAAGCTCTGTTGCAACACAACAATTCAATATAACCCATTAAAACATTCAATCATAGAAAATGGTTGCAATAAATAGGTAATACACGCTTATAATAGAACCCATTTGAAAGGGAACTGTGAAGGACTCTTAAAAAATACGCAAATAAGCCATTATCCAATTTTATTTTTTCACTCTAGACTATTTTATCTTATCGGTGAATATTTGAAAGGAGCTAATGAACGCTTTAATTGTTTGCACAGCGTATTAGAGAAAAATTTCACAGTGAACAATGGCCGAAAATTGTGTGTACACAGAACACAATGGATCAGTGTTCTATATTTACATTTAATATTCATTTTTCATAGCTTGAAATGAAAGGGCCATTACTCGTGTAAGTCACAATGCAAGATTTCAGTCAAATATTGCAATTACATTCACGATTTAACATATATGTAGGCTTTAACGATGCAAGGTGGACCTTTAACTTGGAGAAAATTTTAAACAAATATTACATTTTTATCTTGGAAACAAACGTGAACCAAAGCCCTATCATAAAACGTAATCTCCAGATTAGTTCTTATATTCATTTAAAAATTTACGGGTTTTAAAAGCAATGGCGGCCCCATGATATGGGTTCATGATAAACTCCCCATATCAATTACCCTTCAAAGAGTACTTACTGTCAATTTCAAGCATGCAAAAAATGCATTTCAATATATATGGAAAGATAAAGAAAGGAAAACTAGTGAAGGTTAAGACCGCTAACCCTTCGTTTCACGATAAGATTACAATTTCAGTTCGCTAATCAGGTCCCAGTTTGCGAGATTGAAGAATGTTTAAGAGCTACCGTCTAGCTGAGTCACTACTGTTTTTCACCGACACGAAGGCTTCTTAACGTTTTACATTTTGAACATAGGAACACATGTACCAGTGAAACCAGCTACGTTCAGCAGGAATGCATGTATTAAGGTATGCGTAAATATCCTAAATGATACAAAAAAAAAACATGTACATATGACGATTTATGTAACATCAAAGACGTGAGCATATTGTAACACATACTGTACGATGCAAAGAACAATTAAGCAAGCATTCTACAGGTACTTAATCTCGTTTACATCGACATAAAATCTGGCTCTTACAAAAATCTGCAGCTTATGACTGAACTGATTTTATATCCTATTAACTATGATATAACAGTAGGTCACATAAATTGATGATAATGATAAAGCTAGGGGGATTAAACTGAAAAACCTATCAGGGCTATAGATCTGGTAACTATCATAAATTCAGGCAAAAATGCGGAAGCCACAGAAACATTTTACGTTTTCCGAACAGGGTATGCTGGGAAAACACTTAACAGTTAAGTGAGTGGGTAATAAGAATATCGTAGAATACGAAGCAGTAAAAGAAGGAACTCAATGCATCATGGCCTTCAAAGAACGAGTGTACGCTCATAGTAACTCATTCAGCCAGATCCTCGAGTTAGTACAGATTTGAGTTGACTCATCATCACGACCTTGTGTTATAAGTTATCAATTCAAGGTTGTATTACATTACGTCACATTTGAAATTGCTGATGAAGGGGTTTTATGAAGGGGCCGAGACTTTACTGAGTTTACTCAATAACAAACGATCATAATCATTTGGAAATGAACCTAAAATGAATATCATACTGCAGTTTCTGTAGAAATTCCGATTCTTTTTCAGAAAGGACAAACTGTTATGTTTAAGACGATCATGTAACGGATTATGTCTTTCTTTTTTTTTAAAAATGAGACCTTAATGACTTTCAGCATGCAAACAAGTCATTGCACTCGTCCAACTAAAGTAATAGTTTATTTGAAAGATATTAACCATTAATATTGAAAAAATTCAAGATTCGATGAAAACGAAATGCCGATTTTTTTGTGCCATGTCATCTGTTAAAACAATAAACCTGTGACATTTTTAAGAGCAACTTAAAGTGCAGCATTGCTTTTAAATTCTATGCAACTGGTATTGGTGATTAGGGACTTCTGACCTTGTGAATCAATGACATAACGACATACTGTCATATTGGAGCAATTCAAACATTTTACGACCATGATTCTGTGAGAAGATATAAACGTGCATTAAAATAAATCATCTAAAAATGTTTAATTCAACCTTTTTTTAACCCCTCTATTGAAATAGATATACTGTAGTAGAAATAGCACAGATTGAAACGTTCCGCAAAATGTGTCATTCAATTGTACGTAAGATTAACGGGTACAAATATGAAACTCGAGTCAAGTCATTCAAATTGACTATTTCAGAAACTCTATATCCTTCGGTATATTTTGTGTGTACTACCTTCTGCCTATCATCCTTTTAACTCTAATTAAACTGTACAATAGATTTCTCGAAGGTCGCAGTTGACGAGCACCGATGCGGGACGGTGGTGCCCACTAGCTTTAATGTGAATTTCTTGTATCGTGCCAAGTCAACCTGAACAAACAAACAGACATCAAAGCTTTTTCAACTGCTGTAAATATTCTACTTCATTTATAATTAATTTTTTTTTCTCGCCGATCATTTGACGTTATGATAGTGCCTGATTTCCGTCATGATGTTACATGCATACCTTCACACATGAGCCATTAAACTGAACGCTACCCTTGGAAAACATGGAAAGTCAATTTATTCTATAGAGCATCACGAGTATACATTTCTAAACTAAACCATGGTAACAAAACATGGACATGAAATTGATCGGTAACATAATTACAACTATGAAAGGATATATAACTTTCATCTTTTGGATAACTCACAGTCACTGTGAGTAAAATGAAAACCAGGGTTGTCATTTTGAAGCGACTGTGGACAAAAATGCCTGTTTCAAATGCATTTGGACCGCTTCAAAAACTAAGAAAATACTCATTGTTGTACTGATAAAACCGAAAATTACTGCTTAAAATCTGAAAACTTTGCATACTAAATGTTTTGCTTTCTCAGCTCTTTAATTTTGACAGAAGTACCAAATTACCAAAAAAAATGTCTTAGAACTTTAATATCAACTTACTAATATTAGAGTCAAAAGTGATTTTGCTTAAAAAATTAGTAAAAAATTATTTCTTAAAATTTCCAAGAAAACTTTCACTTGAAAGCATTATTTATGCTTTATCTATAAAATACAAACTATAATCATATAGAAAAAAGTAAAATGTATAGTGTTAGACGATAACTAATTTCATGATGGCTCATGATTGTAAAATAATCAAAAAAGAAAAAATGAACGTATAAAATTGATTTCTGAATCATATTGTAGTGTACTCAATGCTGACTATATATACCGATAAAAATCAGTATAAAAAAGTGCAATAAAGGTTTCATATCTAAATTATCATTAAAAACACCAATTACAACAGCAACAATCCTGTTATATTAGGCTGACCATAAAAATGTGACATAATTATGACATTAAAGGGGCATCAATTTATATGTTATACCATAAACTCTTGACTGACTAATTGTTCTGAAACTTTTTGAAATTTTCATACATGTGTTAATCATACCCAAATCGTTTTGTGTAACTATAATACATTTCTTTAGCTTAATGTTCAAACGCGTTTATGGGTCAAAGGATCACTCCCATTAACTTTGCTATGGAGCAATATAAATGGATTTTAACTATTATTGTAAAGTATTTTCCCATGACCCATTCAATTTTTTTGTGAGATTTGAAATTTTTTGTAGATGTAATGTATGCCGTTATAAGGAAAAATCTTTGCATCAATATAATTTGTTAATTGATAATTTTATATTTATTATACTTGGAAAATATGATAGTTCTTTACCATTACAACAAAGTGTTCATAACTTAATGTGTATTAAGTATTCATTTAAACAATTAAAACGAAAATGCATTGCTGAAACGTGCTTGAAATTAAAATCTTTATGTATAGTCGTAATTTTGTTTCGTTAGTAATAAAGCTCTATAAATAAAACTCAAAGAAGAAGTTAGCAGATGCTAGTGTTGTTTCAGCATCCAAAGATTTCTTTACAATATAAACTTTATTGTGGTGAAATAAACCGAGAAGTGAGGATTTAGGGCTTGGCAGAAGAGTAAAGAATATAATAAATGGGGAAAAATTAAAGCATAAACATTTTTGGTATTTTTCTGCAAAAATGAATAATTATTTTGCAATAACAAACAAATTTCAGAAGCAGTTCTAGGATCCATGTCATGAAGTCCATGTTGCCTGACTTACACTTTATTAATTAAGATAGCACTTGTCAAGATACACTGATAACGAGGCATAAGTAAATCTGAAATGTTGGTACAGTAACTCATATATGGAACAACACAAAAGTATATATTTATATGTATGTAAATCAGGGGCTGTGTAATGAATAAAGAGTGACTCATATAAAATAAATAAAAAGTTTGTCAAGTAAGGATTAAAACATATAGAACACTAAAAATATCAACACTGAGTAAAAATTAGCCATTCTTTGATTTTATAGTACATCTTTGAGAATAAAATAGCTTCCCGAATCCCCAACCCCCATCTCTTTTAATGTAAAAGGCAATTAGAGTATTATGAACTTTTCTACTCTTCTAATCAAAGAATAAGTCAACTGCAAGTAAAGCCACCTCATTTCTCTTGTCTAAATTACATGGCTAGTATATAGCTCCTTTAAAAGCCATACAACATGCAAGGCCAATGTCAAGTGCAATATAATGCCAATATAGGCCTAAACAATATTTTTGTACATGTTTTAATGTGGGTGTGCTTACAAATGAAAACATTTCCTAGAAAATATTGAGACTCTTGTTACATAGCCTAGTCCAATTTTGGAGACAGTAGATTCATGTAAAGAGAGAATTGATTTTTATCTGGGTATTGTACCAAACTGGAAGTTATGCATACAGAACTTGTTTCATTAATGAAGCAATCTTGTTCCCCGTCATTCATCAACTGTAAGCACATTTGATTAGAAAAGAGAGAGAACATGTTCTCCACTCTGCCAATACAATTAAAACTGAGCACACAGCCATGCTGTCATTTTAACTGAGAATAGTTATAGGCTTTTAAAAATCGAAGCTCTATAAACATGGATGATGGAGTAGTGTTGATGCTTTGCATAATAATGTGTCTTTCCAAAAAAAAAAATCATACATTTTCCATATAAAAAAGGCAAATTTCTTAATCACCACTATCTGTGGTTAAAGAATACTTCTCAAACAAGATTTAAGCATTTTCTTGCCCTAATTAGGCCAGTGGACATTGAATAAAGTGTGACGTCCCAAGGGCATTCAATTATTCTCCTCTGGATGTGCGATCAATTCCTTTAATGGCAACGTGTAAAAACAGTCAACTTAATTGTCATTCAGCGTCTATAATTTCCTATGCAGTGGTCTTAGTTTACACACAAACAGAGCTAGTATTTGAATTGTGTCAGTTTTTAGCTTTTTATTGCTGGGCATTTACAAGGTCATTTAATCTTATTTTTATGGCCAGTCGTCCAGCCTTTGAATATTTTGTTACAAAATCAAGCCAAGTTTTATTGAATGGTTACACGGTGACAGGAGAAATAGAGCTTAAATCTACAACTCTTTAATGGCCTGATTCAGATCACCATAAATATAAAGCAATATTTGTCTTAATGCTTAAGCAAATATTTAAAGATAGAATTGAACATTTAATAGCAGGATTGCCTTGGATTTAGTAGCTAGTCCTACCTACATCTAGGTACATGCTGACTACATACTTACTGCTGAGAAAATAGTCCAACTTATATATTATAAAATATTTATTCCTATACACTACCTGTGTAGTACAATGCATTACCAACTCCAAAATAATTCTTTTGATTATTATTTGCTGAGAAATACTTGAAGCTAATTACTTCAGGCATACCACAATCCAGGGTGTATTTTACATCCTTTTTATCACTATGAGGGCTATAAATATACACGCACCTTGAACGTTTTGTTGTTGGGTCTTTCATAACCATGGATTCCTTAATTTCTCCGTATTTACCAAAGTGCTCTTTTAATTTTTCTGAAATTAAAATACATTAACGTGAATTTTAACAGATTTACGGTACTACAGCTTAGCAATTTAACGATGACAATCGAGAATTCCGCATGACTCGCGGGATTTTTAGCGTAATTAACAAATGTAAACAATACATGTACGCGGCGAGATCAATCGGTTTAAACAGGTGAAATCAGTCAAAATTGCATACCTGCAGTGGTCTGCCAGCTGAGGCCACCAATAAACATCTTCCTGTAAAAAGAAACGGGTAGAAATTGATAAACAAAGAGCCATTTTGAATTTTGTGAACCTATGACCTAAATGTCACTGTCGGTAAAGATGAAAGGCAAAAACATGAAATCAAAGATAACAATGAAATATGTCAATGTAACGAATTAAAATAAGAACTTACCCGGGATCATTTGGTATTTCCTCAGTCCCATTAGTTGGGGATGCAGGTCCGTTAGACTCCATTTTCATAATGTTTTAGATTCTACTCTACTAAACTACACTGCACAAATGAAAACTCTAAACACACGTGGGATTCTCGCTTACTTCTATTAAACATCTATTGGTCGTTCGTGGGTGGGCATTTGGCGCGTCCCGCTTAGGCGCGAACCATGGATGATTGACAGGGAGATACTCGCTTTGATTGGTTAGACATACTGTTGCTTGGCAACGTATAACGGTTTCTCATGACGTCAGTGAATGAAAAGCCTTGATGTTATCATTAAATTAGCATAAAACGATCCGCCTATTTTCTTTTTATAAACACGACTTGATAAAGAACCGCCCATTATACAAGTTAAATTGAAAATAGAAGTGAAAACAACAACAAACAATGCTTTTATTGACTATGTCTTATATCAAAATTGTCTTTAGCTACATCTGCTTAGCAAAAAGGATTAAAAACTTACAGAAGTCTTTATCTAATTGATTTTAGCTGACAGATTGGGAGAATATTTGAACTTAATTGACATTAAAAGGAAGGATATGTGTTGGTTTTTTTTTGCGTTTTAGAGAAATAACAAATATCCTGTCCATCCAACAAAAACCCGGCATTAAAATGAGTACTTTGTTATAACGTTTTGGCAAAAAAAGTGCGCTTGAAATTGGTCGAATTCACATCATATTGATGGGAGTAATTTTATGAAAGAAATAAAAACGATTAATGAAAGGGAGGTAACGCGTACATGCTAATATAGTAAAATAAATTGTATGAAATGAAGCACGGGTAGTGAGATTTGAACTTATAAAGAAGAATTGCTAAATATCTGACAATGTTAAAGATATACTATGCTCATCTTTGGGTAAAATATTTTTATCTTAGAAATGCATTGAAATCCATGGAATTCTTACTGAATATGTTTAATTTGAATAAAATAATGAATAAACTACATTCTCTATTACGAGTCAAGTAAAATTGGTCTTTTCTTTAATGGCACTATATATTCATATTATGACCACCTATAGTGTGTAGAGTTCAAAACATATCATATCTACCTTAAATGATGTTTATTTTATACATACAAAGAGACTGTGTAGAAATTATTAATATTTTTAAAAATCACATTTGAGCATAGTATATCTTTAATACATGTAGTAAATTTATAAAGTGTCTGTGCTTCGAAATACTATTTCACAAAGAAGTGCAGAGATGGTATTAAGTACATGTATATCTCTGGGAAGTGGCTACCCAGTATGAGCGTTTTTTATAAGAATTCATTCCACCCTTGTTTATACAAATATTAAAGTTGAATTGAATGTTTAATTGCTCAGTCAGCATAAAAAATATCATTGATAAATACACGCATGAATAACAGAATTATGTAAAACCAGCGATGTATGCAATGATCTTTCATAAGACGTCATTGAAATGCATGTACATTTCGTCGTAAATTAAAATAAATAATTTCAGTTATTTTTTTCTAAGCGGTGTTGACATGTGTTAAGTTTGTGGTTGCTATTTATATTTCTTTGGGTATCTGTTTTGAACTCCAGTAAATAAATAATCTTACAGTTAATCATTATTGACAATATTGCGTAAGAATCACTTAAACTTAAATAGCTTATTACAACTTCAAGAGCACTACTATTTACGTCACTGTTTGAAATATATACAAAACATTGAAGGACAGTAGAAGAAAAAACGCCGCAGGTAAAAAAAGAATATATTTGGAAAATATGCATTGCTTGCATCCCTTATATTTCTTGCCACTTCATAAACGTATAAATTAAAACAACAACAACACTGAAAGTGATATGACTGAATCAAGAAAAAACTCCGAACTTTTGTAAAATACTGCCTTAGAATGCGTCACCCTTGCTAAAAGATTGAACTAAAATATCAACTGTCATAAAATTTAAGCTCATTTGTATATATATCATTCATGTTGCATAATTCTTTAATTTTTAACAACCTTTAAAGTTGCATGCCTCCAGAAGAACCAAAATAAGAATATCAAGAAAGTCAAATTTTAGAAAATTTTAAGACAAAAAAAAAAAGATTCAAGTAATAAACTATTGTGTGTGATTATTAACTGGTTTTGCAGTATTAATTATTAACCATTATATCTCTACTGCATGAACACAATAAGTACTATTTTTTTGCATATTTTTACGTATCTTTTACGTACTTTGCGTGGATTGTTAGTGCTGTTTGCAAGTTGTAAATTACTCTCTTTGTTAACTTAACAATATTTTACTTTTAAATACATTTTCAAAGTTTTCATGATGCTATAATATGACTTGATACTCTCTATCAAATCATGCGCTAAAAATAAAGGAAGTCAATGGAATTTGATGTAAAACAGAAGTTACATTGATTAAAAATTTGCGGCCTCGGTTAATACATTTTATTTGTTCTCATTAACAGTATAATTATTCATAATTATTCATATAACAAGAAACAACAACTTTGAATTTAAAGGGAAAACATATACACCGGATCGTAATGTTCAACATGGCAATCACCGGCAAGTTTTTGAAGTCGCCCGAAATGTTCCGTTGCGACCAAAGATATTTCGTGCAAATATTACAGAAGTTTAACAACAAGTATAGGACCTGCTCCACTTTAGAATAGAATCTATCTACACGGATGCACAAAAAAACAACAACAACATTTTTTGCAGGCGATTAGCATATACTTATTCATAATACTAGTATTATATATGCTATGAATGCATTTAGCTGTGTTGACATAATGTTATTTTAATTTATTAGGCATTGTGCATACCAATCAATGGGCTATCTCGAAATTGTAATGTTTGTTTAGTTTTGGAATTACATATAATCCAGATGTAATGTGACTTCCAGGTCCTGTTGACCGCGAGGTCTTTGATGTATTATAATAAGTTTTTATAATGTTTGTGTACATAAGTCGCAATGATAAACAATTCCACATATTAACTTACTTACCTATTAACCAATAAGCGGATAAAAGACGCAACAATTGGTGACAGTTGTGAAATATTATATTCGAAACGACATTTATAAAAGTCATCCGAAGACATTTTCAATAAATCAATCTATACGATTAATTCTAGTTTGTTTTAAAACAATGTCTATAATTTATTTTCATCAGACTTGACAACTCTATCCAGATAGAGCCCTTTGGAGCAATCGCAACAGCTCGGCCCTTTCCGCCAACTTCGTGGCACTGAATAATGGTCGTGAAAACCCCAACGTGTATGGGATCCATTTTTTTACTGTTATACTAAAACCAATATTCCATTTAAATTTGTTCTGTGAATTCTGTTGAAAGTGAGGAACAATATCAAGCAGAGCAAATCTTTCAAACATTCTTCAGGGAATTTCCTACCCGAGTGGTTCAGGTCGCTTGCCCATTAGAGGGATTCCAAACTCGCCAGACACTACGAAGTCTTTCATGTCAGGAAGGTATCCCTGGTCGAGTGCTAAGCAAGAGAACAGCTGTCTATACCAATTTTGTCCAGTCTATTCGTATAACCTACGGTGGCACAAAGGTGTCATGTGTGTGTTTTTATTTATCTCGTGCGCACGAGATACTATGTCGTGACCACGAGTTACTAAGTCGCGGTCACGAGATAGTTAAGTCGTGGCCACGAGATAGTTAAGTCGTGGGAACGAGATATTATGTCGTGGCCATGAGATACTACTATCGTCCCACGACTTAACTATCTCGTGGCCACGACTAAGTATCTCGTGGCCACGACATAGCATCTCGTTCCAACGACTTAATTATCTCGAGACCACGACTTAGTAACTCGTGGCCACGACATAGTATTTCGTGCGCACGAGATAAATAAAAACACACACACATGTCACCTTTGTGCCACCGTATATAACAGTACTGCACGTTATCGAATCTTCAGCCGAATGATCCAAATATAATTTACGTTCTTTCATGTTTGGTTACTTGAAATATTCTTGTTTTTTACAAACCACAAACAGACACACAAAAAACTACGTATAAAACAAGATAGTTTGTCTGTAACATTGTCCGTTTAGTTCCATTGTCTGTGACATTGTGACAATAAATCAAATTGGATGAAAAAAGTTTCTGGTGAAAATGAGGATTGCTGTCCAGATCTCTGTTATGTTATGACGTCATCTAGCCAATATCTTTCTATATTATAGAAGATATATTGTCTCAATGATATTGCACGCATTGTCCACTAAAACCAGACATGTAACATAAATTGTATCCAATTGCAGGACAGTTTACGGTAAAAGGCATTCTGCAGTGTAGAGTTATATGGTAAAGTAGAATTATATGATAGTTTTTGATATTATGGTTAAAGAATTATATGGTTTTGGAATTTTATATGGTACATGTACACTCTATTGTATTAATTAACTATAAAATTCTGGCTCTTAGTCAGCTTTTCTGTATGCCCCGTATGTAAAAGAGATTTCGAGCCAATATATTTGAACATATAAGGCCAACAGACTAATACGAGAGAAAACAGGGCCAATATAGCAAACTGAGCAAATAAGGAAATCAGGCATTTTTATTGGCCGAAACACTGCATTTTTAGAATCCTTATCAAAAGACAACAACATAAACAAAACAAACAAAAACAAATGAGTCGCGTCATGACAAAACCAACATAGTGCGTTTGCGACAAGCATGGATCCAGACCAGCCTGCGCATCCGCGCAGTCTGATCAGGATCCATGCCGTTCGCTATCAGTTTCTCTACTTGTTATAGGGTTTGTAAGCGAACAGCATGGATCCTGATCAGACTGCGGTTTTGTCATGACGCGGCTCAAATGACTGTTGAATAATAAGATATTTTATAAATTATAAAGTATTACACGTAGTAACATATACAATGTACACCTATATCATGCTAAATATCCTAAATGGATTTGCCCATGTTTCAGTCTGGATAAATTCATTATTTTTAAGGAAAAAATTCACCAAAGTTGTACCAAGTGCACTGCGCACAATAATTAATCACAAAAGATGTACCAAGTGAATTGCCACAAATAATGACCAGACGACACACGGATGTGCCTGCACTGGTCGCATGGGTAGAATCAGTTGTCCCCAACAGGCCAAGGGTTTAAATTATCACATTTCATTAATTAA